TGTTTCCAACGCCCCCAAGTGGCCAGAAAATCAGTTAAAGCAGATTTAAGCAAATTAAGAGAAACTGAAAAATGTGCACAAACAGTTTTATGGCTTTATAACTTTTTAACTCAACAGGTTGCAGTATCAGTCAGTTTTATGTGACATCATCGTCCCGCCCCTGAGTTTGTGGCGCTGTAATGCAGGCAAGGTCAAGTGATGAAAGGCGATAAACACTAATCCTTTGTAGAGTTTTTGAAACAGGAAGAGAGAAGCTTGGTGTCCGGCAGTGATCTCACCTGAATATTGCCTCATGGGCTCAACTGTTTCCTCAGCATCCCGTTGGGAGATAGGTTGGTCATGTGTGTGTGTGTGGTTGTGTGTGTGCGCACACATCTGAGCACCCGCATATGTGAATGGATGAACTTCATGAATGAAAATTCTTCTTCCTGAGCTGCAGACAGGAGGTGAGATCATCTTGTTGAAATGGAGAATCCTCCACCCACAACACCCCACCACTCCACCCCTAGACGCCTACCAATACTGGGTGGCGCCAATCTTAATGAATTTGACACTATATGGATGAAGCGCACAGTAGTGGCAACCTGACTGATGACAATACTGTCCAATATCAGCTTCCCCCAACAGACGGGAGGGGATCACTCCATAGTTAGACTGACATGCACAAACACACAGACACACACACTCACCTTGTCTGAGATCTCAAAGAATATCTCTGGTGTTCTGCTGTTGGTTTTTCAGTCAATACGATGCTGAATCAAGAGTGCCAATTATCTTTGCCTCTTTTGTTCACGTTCCCTTTAGGAACAGAGTTGAGTGGATTTGATGATTGGCCGCCTACTCACCAGTGTGTGAGTGAAAGTGACAATGAGTAACACGAGGGGCTCTCAATGAGGATCCATAAATAGGCTCTCCAGTGAGCCAGAAGCTGCCCTCCTCCTAATTCTCTAGTCGACACCCAGCCACACACACACACACACACACACACACACCTCTACTTCTACCCCCTACCCCTGTAACCGGCCTGGGACAATCTGTGACCACTTGGCACTGGGCCTCACACAACATTCTGTACACGCATACTCAGAGGCATGTATACACACATGCACACACATGACATTCCTCTCGACATCCTTCACTGCAGGCTTCTGTTCATTCTCTCCTGCAGATTATGAGGCATGTTGCCAAACAATGCAGCATTTTGCATCGGCCGTTTAGATGGATACCGCTCAGTGCCTGCTGCAGATTAAAGCTATAGAGATAAATCAAATTTTTAAACGATATTTGCATGTATGTGCTGGAGATGTAACATGACAGTAAGACGCACATAGCTCAACCACAAATCCATTGTGCAATATTAAAAAAAAAAAAAAAAATCAATGGGAGTCCCTCTGAATATATTTTTGAAAAGCTGTCACTTTGTAGATTTGAGGGTTTTATCTGATAAGGAGTGATACCCTGCGGTGTTCATTCTGCACTTGTTTCTGCTGGAGCAACCACAACAGATGAAGAAGCTGTGTTGGTGGACATCAGAGGCAGCAGCGCTGATCCTCAGAGGCCCGAACATCCCTGTCGAGGAGCCGAACGGCAACTGCAAGCGCCAATAAATAAATCATGGAGAAAGTTTTTAAGAAAAAGATAGAAATAGAACAGAGGATGTGCTGCTCCATTCAGACTGCCTTAAGACAGAGTAGAAGGGAGAAGAATTGTGCATAAAATAGCAAGAATGATTAAAGCCGCTGAATTTTTTTCCCCCGCTATTTCTATTTCACACGATATTAAAACCGACATGAAATGTTAATAAATCACATTTTGGCCAGGGGACTTGAAGATAATGTTGAAATAATGTTAAAATTGAATTATATAATTAAAAAATACATGCATAAAGAGCCCTGACAATGTCCCACTGTGATACTGTATGTTGTAAAATGTTGAGTTGAATATTTTATTACTTATTTAATAAAAATAGGTCCAGTATCATTTAGCTGTAGCTAACCCTAACCCTCTCTGGTCCCCTTTGGTGGGTCTTGTTTTGGTTCAGAGTGATTCTGTGTTACTCCATAAATCACCAAACAAACTGCACTCAGGAAATAAAGAAATGTTTCTTATTTTAATTTGGGAAGGATTCATGTGGAAGAATGTGGCAGAGAATGACTCAAAAAATGAATAAATGAAAACAGAAGCAACCGGTTTTTCTAAAATGTAATTTCACTGGAGGTATCTAACTCCTGCACTGCAGTGATCTTTTTGTTTTTTCATTAGGATTTCATGAAGCACAGCAAGAAGAGACGGAGGGGTGGGGGGGCTTCGAAAGCTTGTGTGTGTGTTTGTGTGTGTGCAGGTTTCTCAGTCTCACATGGTTCATCTGTGCACTAGTTAGGGTTTCCCCAGCCGCCTGTCTTCAAGCAGCACGATGAGGTCATCGTTGTGGGTTTAAGCCTAACATGAGCTTAATCTGGGAGATAAGGGCTGGATTTGGATTTAGCACTCAAAAAGGGTCATGTAGCTACAACCATTTAGCCCCCCGAGTAAATACACAGCTCAGACACGGGATCCCCAGCTGTTCCACAAACTCACATCTTCCTCTGCGTCAGCCAAATATTTTGACTCTGGGAAGATTCTCCAATGTTTGCAGTGATTTGATGATCTCCCAGTTGGCCCGCAGAGTTGAACTGGCATGCATTCATCATGCAGGATTTGCCTGACTTGAATGTGTGAGAGGTGGAGAGTCAGTTTCAATTGTATCGCACATAGGTTTCGCAAACTTTGTCTTAAAAGCTTGAAAAAGATGGAGAGATGTATTATTACCTTTAGGGATGAGGTTATGTTTTCACCTGTTCGTTTGTTTGTTTGTATGTTTGTTTGTTTGTCAGCAGGATTATGCAAAACAGTACTAGACTGATTTGCTTGGAACTTGGCAGAGCGATGGGACATGGGCCAGGGGAGAACCCATTCAATTTTGGAGCAAATCCGGATCATTTAC